GTCTACAGTTACTGGCTATACTGGATCTAGTAACACAAGACAATGGCATGTGCGACGATGAGTGTGTAGTATTGGAAGACAGTAGGATATCAGATATCTGACCAACCAAGTTCAGTTTTAGGTCTTGGTTATGGTGGAAACACCAGAGTATTTGAGGCAAAGCCCCCTCGTGTTATGCAAGAGCCAAATAAACAATTCTTTCCATAAATGGCACCATTTGGAAACGTCACAGAATATTTGAATTTGGCTGAAAGAAAGCAAAATACGAGCCCCGAGACATTATCTAATCGTAGTAAAAGTAGATCAAAGCAGACTGCTCTTGAGGGAGTTCATCTGAGGTCATGCTAACCGGCGCCTCAGTCTCCAGCTCATAACTTAAGCATCAACGCTGCGTTTGTGAGAGAGAGAGTGTGCGAGTGAATGACTATTTGAGGCCAAGAATACGAGACCCGTCTCTCCAAGGTGCCATCATTCTGCTCCCGTCAGTCTCGGCAGTCTGACGTCCTGGTGCTGAACTTCAGGTCCCCTGTGGGCAGTGACCTCTGACCCTATCCCCCCTCCCCTGGCCCTTCCAGCCCCGTCAGAAGGATATGCGCCCTGCAGGGATCAGAGAACCTGGGATACGTGAAAAAGCCATTCATGGCCGTTCATAGAAATTCCTCTGGAGAAGCTGTTCTCTGCATATTGAGTGAAAAAGAAGAATATGATGGCTGACTTGCACTTTCATCACAGAGTCAAAAGGGAAAGCAGGGGAAGGAAAGAATGACTATGCTATTTAAACCTCATTTACTCCAATTTAGTGATGGCAGAAATGGATTCAAGAGTACTCTATGGAGCATGTCTAGTGGTCCTGCTAACTCCGTGAGCCAAGTCCAGGGTCAGTGGAAGTGCTCTTGGCCAGCTAGGCCAGAGCTGGAAAGATGGAGAGCTCAGACCTGGAGTCAGGCCAACCAGGCGGGAAGAGGCTAGCAAAGCCGGATGCCAGGAACTGAGGGCTGTGATGGCACCACTGACTATTCTTGATATCTCCCTCCCACCAAAGCACTTAACATGCAGTATAAGCCAACACACAAACAAACAAACAAACAGATACACGCCATTCACATAAACACGCAGACGCCAAGGGATGTTTGGAAAGCTAAAGAACACAGGCAGGAGGAGAGCATCACTCAGAGACCCATTAACCCTTGGCTCCCAACCAGAACAGTGAGCCGGCGTCCTTTAAGCACACTTTGAACATAGCTGGTCTATGAACGTGTGCACAAGTACTTTAGGTTCTTCCGTGTGTCTATGTGTATGTACATATGTCCATAGAAAGTGACATTAAATGAAGACTTGATGGGCAGTTTCCAGAGGAAGAAAACAATTCGTTGTCCTCTTGTATTTATGAAAAAAAAAGTCAATCGCTATCTAACCCCTCGGCTTGCCACAAGTTGGTGAGAGAAAGTGCTTTGAGGACTACTTCCTCGTACGGAGAAGTGTAACCCCAGGAGAACAGCTCCAGACTAAACACTCTGTGCATTCAGCTGCTCCCCTTCACCCCACCGACAAGCGACGGATGCTTGTCGGCGCTCCCAACAGAAAAACCTCACTTTTTCCACCAATTATAGAAAGCAATGCGCACGGGGGAGGAGGCAAAACTTCATAATATTATACACACTGGCATTTGGCGAAGCACATTGAGCAACCTCTGTCAGAAAGAGATGGGCTAATTTCAGGGTGACCTGTGCCAACACAAACAACTGTTCTGGCTAGCTTTCATTGTCAGCACTTGAGGTTTGAGTCAAATTTTTCAATGCTCCGCAGCCAATTTCTCTTTCCCCTCTTTTTTTCCCCCCATATGATTTGTCCTTGTCCAAGATCCCAGTCAGTCTTTCATCGCCTACGCAGTCAGAGCTTTAAAAGTATTCTGGTAGAGCAGAAAACTCAGACCCAGATGCTCATCTACACACACAAACTAAAATAGGACGTAACCGTTTCTTTCAGGTCGTCAGCATGTATCTATGTGACCTCATGTACGGAAAACATACTTATTTTATCCATAATGCAGGCGGGACTGAATTGGTGCCGTGTATCTTTGATGTATCCAAGTGCTTCCATTTGGGTTTTGTCCGTCAGCAGGCGCAGGGTCCGCGTGAGTTAAAACAGCTACTGCTTCGGTCTCTGGCTGCTGTGTGCTGGGATTCATATCACAGCCGTGTCAACGTAAACATCATATGTTTCCGTTTGCGTCTACAAAGCGGTATTTACTTCACTTTGATTTTGTTTATTAGAGGCTTTTACTGTTCAACATAAAAGCAAGGAGCCATGGCGGTACAGGCTGTAATATTACATTCATAGCCTCCTCATAATTCTCATAGCTCACGCATGGTTCTGGGTATGTGCCAGTCAACGAGATGGACAGCACTTTACTGCCATTATAGAAAGCTCACACAGTAGGAGTCCTATCCTCTGTGGCAAATCAAACGCACCTATGCACATCAGGGGAGGAGTGTTTAGTTATGTACCAGTGTGTGAAGGGGGGGGTTGATGTTGAGGTGGAAGCTGAATGGACACTTTTGGAGGCCCCTGTAGCCTGAACATGCAGCCTTTCCTCTGCTCCAGTATTGAGGCAGCTGTCTTTAATATAAGAGCTCAGCTCAGCCCATATTTATTCAGGTACAGCTGACAGAGAGGGGGAGACAGTGAAAGAGGCGTGGACCATCTTTTTCCTGGCAGCAGTGCAGCACTCCTGCGGCTTTTTTGGGGGGCAAAGAGACAAGGCGAAAAAAGACACAGACACTGTGACAGAGGGAAAGGAGCGGCGTGAAAGAAAAGAATGAGTTGAAATAAGAAAAAAGAAAATACGGCTCCAGTGAGCTCTGCGTTGACTGGACATCCTGTGCAACAGACCAGCCCCAGAGGCCCCGGGGCCACCAGGGAGGGGGGTGTGCGAGCTCAACTCTCCAGTCTCTCTTGATGGCTGTGTCCAAGACAAATCACCAGCGGTGCTGCTGTCACCGTAGGCCTTGACCAAGACAAACAGCCGTGTTTTTTAAATAAGTACCTGCCCCCTCACAGCCCCTTTCACCTCATCCACGCTCAGTCACATCCATATCTCCTGGCACAATCAAGCATATTCCCTTCACAGGTCATAGGACTGGAGCTGTAGTCCAAGGCTCTACACTGGGGACTCACCATTCACCCTCTCAACGCTGTCTGCATTCTCTCTCCGCTGCACGCACACACACACGCACACACACACACACACTGGTGACATTCTACCACATCACAAAACTTTTATTGTTGCCAAAATGCTGGGACTGCAATAACAGGGGTGAGAGTGAGTGTGTATGACACAAACTGTGTAGCGGGTTTAAGGGACACCGTCTGGATGCATGTGTATGTGCAAGCTTGATCGTTTATGTACATCTGGGCTTGCATGCACAAAACCTCAAACTTAGCTGAATCACAAACTGCCAACTGCGCACAAGTGTCAGCACAATTCCTTGCTTTTACTTAACAGCACATTGCATCTTGGGAGTTGTGGTTTGTCTGAATGAGCCTGACTGTGTCGCTGCCTCCGGCCTGCACCGGTGGGACTGGCGTTCCTCACTGAACTGAACCTCATTTATCTCTGTGGCAGAGCCCTTTCTCTCCAGCATCGGTCCTCCTGGACCCCTGAACTGCTGACACCAGCCCCCCCCCTCCTCCTCCTCCCTCTGAGCTCCAGCATGCGGCAAAAATTGTGAGATGTGTTTCATCTGCATATTGATCAGCCCGGCCAAAAGAAGAAGGACCTCAGCACTTCACTGAATGCATAATGTAAATAAGTAGCAGTTATTCTGCTTAAACTCGCACACAAACCTTTAAGGAAAAAGTTTCACCTTAAGTACGTGATTTTCCAGGCAATTAGGTAAATGTGATTGTGCAACAAAAGTCAATAGCAGCTTTTGTCTAAAGAATAAAGAAGAATAAAGTAGAAAACCCTTTTCCCTAACCATGCTGACAATATGTACAAATCTGCACATCTCAGCCAAATGAAGGTTATCGTCAGGGTGAAGCAGGGCTGAAAGTCAATGTGCCCAAAAAGAATATGACCCCGTTTTGCTCCCGTCACCCAATAAAAGCAGGCCGCTCTCGGTGTGTGGGCAGGCTTCAGTGCCAGCCAGTTGCAGTGCAGATGGCTGGGCGCTGGGCTGTCTGATGGATAGCTTACATTCGGCAAGGACTGGACCTATGGCGTCGTGGATTGATTGGCCCGAAGGGGCCGTCGGGGGAAAGCACTTCCTGTGTGTGTTAATGGACACTCCTACAGAGGCACTGTGGTGGCTTGTGGCAGGGTGATGGTTGTTACTCCCTCTCTCACTCTCCCAGCCCTCCTCCTCCTCCTCTTCATTTGCTTTCACTCTCCCAGTTAATCAGAGGAGAGTCAAGTGAGACGAGCCAGGCTTTCCAAGCAAGCAGACCGACTCTCTAACCCAACACCAATACACTACAGCAGCGACGTGGAGAACTACACATCTTAAGTTTAATTTATGTGTAATCAAAAACACCTTATATTACCAGCCCCATAGATTCCTAAAATGTCCTAGAAAGGAAATTGATAGGTAGGTCCTTGGAAAGAACTTTTAAATTTGGTGTCAATTGTGAGGAATATTGAGACAGTATTTAGTCTGTATATTTTCAAATAATTAATTACAATTAACTTTTACTCAATATTTACTTGGGTTTAAAAGCATCAGTTATTTCAAGGAAACTTCACTGGAAATCAACAGCTGTTTAATCACCAAATAATCTCAACAGTCTCAGAAGTGTGTCTCTATTTTTCGTACAGCCTATTTGGCACCAAATTACATAATTCTTTCCATTGAACTTCCAAAGACCTTTTTAGGAAATTATGAACCCATTGTTTTTCTTTCTATCATTCAACTTGACAAATCCACTCATCTAAAAGGTCAAAATAAAAACTCATAGTAAGTGGCTGTGGCCGATGTGCGAGTGTGTCAATAAGTTTGTACCCGAATCTGCCCAGCTGCTCCAGTTCAGGCACTGGAGGTCCGTATGTCTCAATTTGAAGGGCCTTGTAGTGGTACAGAACTTCCTCTATCTTGGGAGGAGGCTGAAGTAACACCGTCTGACGCTGAAAAAACAAACAGTGAGACATTCAACACAGGACAATAATCTTCATTGTGCAGTGCAACACTGGAAACTACAGCTATGGAGCAATTCGGATGACACAAACAGTTTAAAAAAAGCTAACTGTCAATCAAACTGCAGCATTAACAACCACCAGTTCTTGACGAACTGGTTTGGCAATAGGAGTTTTGTCTGACAACATTTTCCCCGGGCACTGCTGGAACAATGACAATGAGTATGTTTTTAGTTGTTGGCTACTCAACAACTGTTCCTGATGGGAATCTGATCAAGAACAAACAGAAATAACATCATGCAGGAGATCTGTCATGGGGTTGATGAGGAAATGAAATTCCTCATAACAGTAAGTGTACTTTGGATCAAAAATGGCTAACGGCTATTTCCATGAAATCACCAAAATACAAATGCACTGATAATGTAGAACTGTAGAAGAGAAAGATAGGAATTAATAAACCTTAAATTAGGTAGGCTAGTGTGAGTGTGTAGGAAGCGCTGGGATTATTTGCTACTTGCATCGTCTTCCCAAGGATTCACCTAAAACACTGTGGATCTAACCTGGGTGAATATGAATGTGACTAACATTAGGCAAATCCTCAGGATTATTCAACATAAGTTCAACAGAAATATGTCATTGCTGCGTCTCCTACAGTCATAAGACCCGTCGTGTCAAGCTCAGAAAACTGTAGTCTGTTTTATAAAAAAAACCTTCAAGCCGTAAATACTCAAAGTTGAGATTTCAGTCAGGCTACTCCAGTTCCTAATGCTCTTGACCATGGTGATGGAGTCAGAAACATGATACTTCTTGAGAACACAGTAGAATTGTTCGATTTGGGGCTCTGCCATCAAAGGGGAATTTCCACACAGCGTCAGGCCACTTTGTTTTCTCCAGCATTAAAGTAATGAGACTCAAAAGATGAGCCAGACTCAAGAAACAAGCCTGGAATTAAAATGATGATGTCTAAACAAACATTGACTATTTTAGAGACCAGCAAAGGAACTCAGAGACAAAGGAGAGATAAAAAGATAAGGGGGAAAGCAAAGAAAAGAGTAGTGGGGGAGTGTAAACAACAGAACACAGAGGGGAGCTGATGAAAACCAAACTAAACGAATAACATGTGCCCCTCGGCCTCAGACTGCCCGCCCTCACACATGCTTTGGCCCATGCGAGCACACACACAGGGAAATAAAGCAGCCAAATCTGAGCTACAAGTTGCAAAAGCACCAAGGGATGAACACCGAGACAGCAATGGAGGCACAGTTTCTGAGCCAAACACAACATGGGGGTAATTGTGTTAACCCGTCAGTGTGTAGGATAGTTAGACAAAACAATACACACACACACACACACACACACACACACACACACACACACACACA